ATATATATAAAACTTATTTTTTTATTAAGTAAATCAAACTTAATTATTAAGTAAATTTTGTTTAATATAACAAATTACTGTACAGCACTGACTAAAGTACCTGGAATCTTTTACAAACATACGGTTAGGACGGGTATTTTACATGGGGGGATATTTTGGTCTGCGCACTATGTACCTGCATAAAAATTTTACATTGTTTGGAATACCATCCAATCAAAAATATAACAAGCGCAATTAATTAATAAGCTATCAAATTATGGATAAAAAATGGTTTGGCTTCGTTATTCAGTTATTCTGTTATAAGCAACAGTGCGCAAAGCAACAATTTAGGCCAAGACAAATATTTCAAATCATCAAAATAAGTATTCGTGCATTTTTTTTATTTTTGTCTTTTTTTTTAAATCATTTAATTATAATAATAAATGATTTATTTTGTTCTTGATAACAGTGTACAAAGCACAGGTTAGGTTAAAGACAAATATTTTAGATTATGAACATTCTTTTGTTTTATTATTTCATAATTGTAACAGTAACTAATATTTTAATAAAAGAGATTTTTTAATACAATTGAATAAAGATACAAACAAATTTTTAATATTCGCAAATACTTTAATTATATGTAATAAGTATTCATAAAAATATTTAAAAAGCTTATTTCTTTGATAATTCATTTTTATGAATAAAAAATGGTTCGTGCAAATCAACCAGCAAGACGTTCACGTTTTACACATCATATTCGTCGTCAATGGTCTGCAAAGAAAAAGCTTATGATCATTCATTACCTTGAGCAATCTAAAAGTGTACGTGGTACAGCAAGAAAGTTTAATATTCAACCTAAGCAAGTTCGTAATTGGAGAAAAATTAAAGATCAACTAATAATGGCTGCTCCACATATCGAGAAATTACATTCTGGAAAAAAAGTCAATTTTCCTGAACTTAAAGAAGATTTGGCAGTTTGGATAAAAGAAACTCGAGACTAACATAATGCAGTAACCCAAATGATGGTTACTTAAAAGGCAAAGAGTTTTGCTCAACAACCTAGATTCCAAATTTTGTATCCTAATATAAATCAGTTTGGCTTTTCTTATAAATGGCTTGATGCATTTATGTCTCGTTATGATCTTTCAAACAGACGTAGAACTAATATTGCTCAACATCTTCCCAAAGATCTAATTGAAAAACAACAACAGTTTTTGAGTTACATTGCACTTAAACAATATGAAAATAATTACTTATTAAGATTAATTGGCAATATGGATGAAACGCCTGTTACTTTTGACTTGCCAAGTGCTGTTACTCTAGATGAACGTGGTGCTAAAACTGTTAGTATAAGAACATCTGAGCATGAAAAATCAAATTTTACTGTGATCTTAGGTTGCCTAGCAGATGGTACAAAATTGCCAGCAACTTGTATATTTAAGTTAAAAAATATGCCCTGTCAACAATTTCCTCAAGGCATTCATATTCGTGTAAATGAGAAAGGATGGTGTAATGAACAAGAAATGATTTGGTGAACAAACAACGTATGGCTTGCTTCAAATATGTATAGACATGAACGTTTACTCTTAGTATTAGATTCTTTCAGAGGTCATATTACTGATCAGGTTAAAAAAAATTTTGGCGAAAATATGACTAATATTGCAGTGATAACTGGTGGTTTAACAAGTAAGCTTCAACCATTAGATGTTATGATAAACTATTCATTTAAATCAAAACTTCGTAATCTGTATCTTGAATAGATGGTTAATGAAATACATGAACTTACGCCTTCTGGAAGAATTAAATGACCATCTTATACTTTAATAGCAACATGGGTAAGAAGTGCGTGGAATGATGTTGATATTGATTTGATTAAAAACTCGTTTAGCTGTTGTGGAATTTCTAGCGATCAAGATTCTAATATGAATCAACAATATGAAATAGAAAATGAAAATGATTTTGAATTAGTTAATAATATTGAATTAATAGATTTTACTAATGAAGAAACTGTTTGGATTGAAACGAAAGATTTTGATAATATCTATAGTGAAGAAACTACAGTTGAAAACGATTGGTTACTGGTTTCATAAATTTACAATAGTTTTTTTTTTATTTTATAATTAGTTCTATATTTTCTTTAGAATTCTGGCAAAATTTTCAAAATACATTTGTAAAAGCTTTACGTATAAGTGAAGTAAATTTTTTACAATATGTAATAAATGCATAACATAATTGATATGTAACAATGTACGTATTATAGAATTAAATAAATGGCTATATCCAGGTATTTTAGACAGATCCTTTCTATAAATAGTAAGGAGTATTACACATAGGGTGGATACTTTAGTCAGTGCTATACGGTATATTTAATTTTAAATTTTTAAAGATTTTTAAAGAATTTTAAATTAAATATTATTATTAAATATAAAAATTAAATT